CACCGGGATGCACGGTGCTAATTTTGCCAAAAAAAAAAAACACAAAAAAAAAAACAAACAAACAAACAAACTTTTAACTATATTTAGTACGCCTAAGTGGTTTCCTATCGAAGTACCACATCAATTACTCAGGAAATCCAATGCATTTAAACATTTTAATTTGAAAAGAAATAGATTTAAAAATAGTCCACACTCTTACCTGATCAATTTACTTAATCCTACTTTCTACTAACTATTCCATGGACACGCAGTCTTAGAATCTCTGGGTCCATTGCAATGTTTAATTTGCCAGTATAAAAAAAATGCAATATTTTATAAGATACGGTACATTGAATAACTACTAATTGTTTTTAATTTTTTTTGTTTGGTATAGAGTAATATTAATTTAATAATACAATTTTGAGTAAATTTTAGTCTAGTTCATTAAATTTCATTAAAAAAATATATATATAATTTCATTTTCAGTTAATTTCTCTCCATGGAGATTTAAGAACAGTGTTCTATTATCATTAACTGTTGCAATATTAATTATTACATCTAATACAAACGTGAAAAATGATAATGAAAAGTACAGGATTTTATTTTTGTAGTAAATATCTCATAGGGCCTAAGTGTCATAAAAGCGGAAATGATTTTGCATATCAACACTTGGCTTGAAGCGGAAGTTATTTTTTTATCAATCGGGGGCGCTATTTACTTGATCGAAAATTTGTGTTGTTCTTTACTTCCGTATCGCAAGCAGGGAGTAATACAACAATCATGGAATCTTATTAGTGTTCATCGTTTGGAAAAATGTGGGGACGAACGACGGACAAGAAATATGGAGTTGGTAAGACAAATTTATGTTCATATACGTGCATAATACAGAAAAATGTGACGTAGTTTTAGGCACATATACGCGGAAAATTGATTTACTAGTCTTATGTCTGCAAACGTGTCTGACCCTATGCTATCTTTTTGACTAGGGAAGTTGTCACTTCCTCCTGCCTGTCTTATTCCTCCTCGCGTTGATCTGGAAATGTTAGGCCTGAGACAGAAATTGAAGTAGCTCATTTGGTTACTGCTTGCAAACGCCCAACCATATTACTGCTGAGTTATAGTTCTATGTGTACAGTATAAGCTATTTCATATTGCCCAAAAGTTAATACACAGGTTCGTATTGATTTTCCGTTCAAAAGAGCAAAAAACGAACAGACCTCTCTATCGATTTGTGTGGAAATATGACTCCACTGTTGAAGTGTTGTTTGTAACACGAAAGGCGCAGTACCTGTCGAGGTAGAGTAGGCCTAGGCCCTAGATTAGGCCAAGGTCTACCTACCAGCAGAAATGTACTGATAATTTAGACCTAGGACGTCTACTTACAATTTATGCTTTTGATTCATTAAATGTTCCAGAATTACACCTTGCCATTGTTTGTCAACAGGGGTGGTGGCTTGTTTTGGTCATGGGGGTGGGGGTGAAAATTGAGAATGTGGAACTAAATTCCTATTCCATTAAAAACTTAGTGGTCATTTTTAATATTTTACCCCACTCAGTTGAACTAATGTGCCACCTGCAATTACATTAAAATTAGGGATCCCAGTCTCACAGAACTCGTGGAAGTCTCCCGTCTCATGGAACTTGCGTAAGTCTCCCGGAAATCGAGATGGCATCCCGCACTTCCACAAGCAAGCAACAATCTCCCAGAAAATAACCAATCTCTGCAAATTCATAATTTTGCATATTTTTACTGATTCATTATAAATTTTCTCTTGGAAGTCAATGCCAATTGGTATCACTAGGGACAGCAAAATAAAAATAAATGTATTAAGAAAGCTCATATCAGTGGCGGATTCAAGGGAGGGAGGAAGCTTGCCCAGGTCCTCTAAATATTTCAAAATTATGAAAAAATGGGGTAGAAAAGAAAATTATATTTAAAATTTTAGGTCTGAAAGGGCCATTTCCTGTCATATAGAGGTGATATACTGTAATCATAAATTTTCTTACCTCAGCTCTAACCATGGTGGGGCTGATATGATCTAGACCCTCCATCTGTGAAAGTTCCTTCCTCCCCCACCCTTTGGCCCCCACCCTTTGACCTGCCACTGCAGATCTCCCGGAAATGACTTCATTCAACTTAGGACCACTGCTAAAATTGTAAGATCAGCGTGATTGTGCCCTTGGGCAAGACACACTTTTTATTTTTTCACCTTGGAATTCTATGGGTTGTGTACTGTACCGTTTGGTTGTGAAATTGAAAGAAATTGATAAAATCTGTTCACTGGTTATGCATTCACAACAAACCCTAGGATCCGTTCCGGTGACAGGACAAAAAATCATGAAGAATGGGTTCATTGGTAAACATTAGGACCGTTCATATCAAATTTGTACAATTTCTAATCTGTACTCCGGATCTGGAGCGATGGATCTGAGAGTCATTTGTATCGTGAAATTGTACGTTTTTCTTGATTTTCGTTTTTTTTTTTCACTTGGTTCGAATGCATACTGTACGTACTTGACCCCTGTTCGCATTGTACACAGCGTTCAAAAAACGTGAAAAACTCAGGATTTTTTTGTCCGGGCTCCTGACAGGATTATTGGGCTTGGGATGTGAACGTACTGTAGTTTTACAGTACATACAGTAACTATAAAGAACTCCCCATTGAAGAATGAAGTGAAAAAATTACCTTTGGACATACCTACCAGTTATTTTTGCATCATTTGAATTTTTACACAGTTGTATAAATCCTTACAAAAAATGTAATTAAAAATATAATTTGGCTTCAGTGTAGCTTCACTAGTAATATGAAATTAATTTGATGTAGCTTAAAAATTAAATTGTGTATGAAGTTTGTTTTTATCTTTTTAGTGTACAGTATGTCTAGAATTATAACAAACATATGATACAGTTATTTGAACTTTATTGTCCACTTTAGTTTGTACATTCCTTTTATAGTAAAAGTTTCATTCACTGTATAAATGCCACTGATACTCTATGTTATGGAACACCGTACTGCATACTGTACAACAAAACAAATAATAAAAAATAAAAAACCCCAATGACAAGGAAGTTGAAAATATTGCCTGTTATTATACTGTACTGTAGTACCTAACACTGATTTACTGAACTACAATACAGTACCTATAGTGTGATAGTGCTGCTTGTGTGGTTTTTCCACTGTAATTTCCAAATAAAAATTGTCCGATTAACAGTAGCTTATATTTGTCAGTTTTATTTTAATGCGCTGTTCGTGTGCTTTTTCTTCTAAATACTATAAATACAAAAGTATATTTAGATTACCGAATACTGTCATAATCATAAATACGATAGGCATCCGGTACTGTAGATTTTTATCACCAACTGTATCAACACTACTGTATTGTATACAGTATTTTGTAATCTGGCTAGGTATTTCGTAGACCTGAGCGCTGCACCTTAGCAACAAAGAGATGCTGTAGTTTTTATCAGACTTAAACAACCCATGAAACATCACCACCACAGTGCATTGTCAGTGGACTTAGGCGAGTCTTTAAGTGGAGAGACAGAATTGAGCTTAATATACAAATTTCATAGTAAGATGATAGAATAATTAGCAACTCCTTTGACAAAGCACTGCACCTTAGATAAGCACTGCACTACATATTTTCATTGCTGGGCATCCTTGCACATACAGTATTAGAACAGTTTCTGTTAATAACTATCCACAATTTTATCGTATCTATTTTACAACAGCGCCACCAACGTCTCGCAGCTTTCACCGGGGGACTTCCAGCAGTTTGCAAATGTTGTTTTTTCCAGACACATACTGTATCTTCTTTTGACTACTTCAACAACCAAAAACACTGCAGGTTTTATGTGGCCCCTTTTTTTTTTGGCTTTTCGTTTTCAAAGACTATCTTTAATAGGCCTCTACAACAACAAGGTCTTGCACCAGTCACAAACACTGGTAAACTACGTAGAGCGATACGCCTCAGCCCTCAGCTGTATGTCCCTCAGTGGTGGTTGCCATGTTATTGGAAATTTTCATTTCAAATTTAGTGAAAATGGTGTATAGTACTTAAGAGTTCTCTCCAGTATGCACTTCATCGTACTATAAAATAGCCAGTTTTTTTTATGGATTGTATGGCATAAAAATAATGAAGTTTTATGGGTCCAATGGGAAGAATATTTTCATGCAGATGGCACACCGAATAGTAATACATCATCATAAACCTGGGTTGTTGGAAGTTCACATAGTGAATGTACAGTAGTTCAAAAAGGTAAAGGTAAGTGTGTGGGAGTCTAAATGTATACAAGAAAGGCAACTTCTTTAAAACTTAGTGGTTAAGATAGTTGCCTTCTAATCTCAGGGTCCTGAATTCAGTTTCTGTTCCAGCAGGACTTTTATCACAACTAAAAACAACTCCACTCTCTAAACCTCATAAAGAGACTACACTGATATAAGTATCACATTATTTAATTTATATAAAGAGGGGCCCTGAATATCAGCTGACCTTCTAAGATACTCTGGAAGGGTCACCGTCTATTAATAAGGGTTAAAAATACTTGAATTATACTTTGCCAGGTGACAATTAGCCAGGAACATAATAAATATTGTGTCTACAAAATACAGTACATACAGTAGTTTACTACAGTGTGGAAATACAGTGGTTTGGTTTCCCAACCTCGAGGTCAGAGTTAATCCCTTGCTGTGCATTTCGCTTTGATCATGGCACTTTATCTGCGTTATTCTATCCATCCAGGATGAGTATAAATTTGCACCTGGGTGGGGTTGTCTGCTCCTGCGCTGATTACCAGCAGCAGCACTTAAGCATGTGGACCCAATGACCAGGGAAAACAATGTGCTTTGTAACCTAAAGGAATACAATAGGCGCTATATATATACCAAATAACAAAATAACAAATAAATTGGTAGCTACATTATGGTGTGGATACATTGAATTTACATCTAAATATGGTTTGCGCTCCAATTTACTTTAAGGGCCTGTTTCTACTGAAAAGAAATAATCGATTAAAAATAGCTTTTTCGAAAATTCGCTTTTATTCTCACAGTAGAAACGGGACCAGTTTGAAAAAAGTGATTAAAAAATCGATTAAAAACACGCAATGGATAGCGTGTTTGAACGGCAAATAACCAATTTTGGCTGTGCACCTTTCAGCTTTCAACACAAAAAAAGCGATTATTAGGTCAAATGTTACCTCCTGGGCTAGATCGTATTAGGCGCGAATTGTCCTCTTGTTCATGTCCTAGGCCTACAAGCTAAAAACGCCAACAAACATGAGGAGTGACGAATTCGTTTTGTTGTTATTTTGTGGGGGGGGGGGTGGATATTGGGCCTAGGACTTGCCGTTCTTTTGGGCCTACTGTTGTCCTCGTTTGGTCATCGTTCATAATTGTGTCGATGAGCACAGCCGAAAACATTTGCCTTCTCGCCCTACATTGTATCTTACTCCTCGTCATCATGACAGGAATGAGAAAGATACTATCCTAAACAGTTAGGAAAACAACGTGTTGTATAAACAAAATGGTGACGTAATTTCCGTCACGAAAACCGATTTTCGAAAAATCAAAAATGCAGTTGCAACGCCAGCAGGCTGTCTGGTACTCATTAGAAAAAATGGTTTTAAAAAATTGATTATTTTGTGTTTATCAGTAGAAACACACCCTAAGACTCCAGATCCAGTTCTAAAATCCGGACCACTTTTAGTACCAAATAACAATCCTTTAATTATTTAACACAAAGATTCTAATTGGAGACCATTTCTACAGTAAGACCACACCACATCTTCAAGTCCCACAGGTGGTTGAATTAGAGGGTGGACTGTAATGTAACTAAAAAATTCTCATG